GACACACGCGACACGCGCAACACACGCGACCCACGCGACACACGCGACACACGCGACACACGCGACCCACGCGACCCACGCGACACACGCGACACACGCGACACACGCGACACACGCGACACACGCGACGCACGCGACGCACGCGACACACGCGACACACGCGACACACGCGACGCGACACACGCGACACACGCGACACACGCGACACACGCGACACACGCGACACACGCGACACACGCGACACACGCGACACTCGCGACACACGCGACACTCGCGACACACAACACACACACACAGAAAGCAATCACGACGCACACAAGCACAAACACACAAACAAACGCAAACAAACACACAGCCACAAACTCAAAAACACACAAACGTGCAAACACACACAACCACAACCAGACAATCACTCAAGTACACACACACACACAAGCCCAGCAACACAAACACAAACACACACAAACACACACACACAAACACAAACAGCCACACACACACACCCAAACACAAACACAATCACCACCACACGCAAGCACACAAACAAACACACACACAAGCACAAACACACGCACACGCACACAGACGCACGAACACGCAAACACACAAACACGCAAACACACAGACACAAACAGACACAAACACAAACACAAACACAAACACAAACACACACACAAACACACACACAGACACAGACACAGACACAGACACAGACACAGACACACACAGACACAAACACACTCACACGATCCCACAAGTACACCAAACACACACACACACAACACAACACAACACAACACAACACAACACAACACAACACAACACAACACAACACCACACCACACCACACCACACAACACCACACATCACCACACAACACACAACACACAACACACAACACACAACACACAACACACAACACACAACACACAGCACACAACACACAACACACAACACACAACACACAACACACAACACACAACACACAACACACAACACACACACACACGCAGGCACACAAGCAAGCACACACACACACACAAGCAAACGCAAACACACACGCACACACACACACACACGAACCCACAAGTACACCAAACACACAAGCACACATACACGGACACAGACACACAGACACGGACGCAGAACACGGACACACAGACACACACACACACACACGAGCAGACACGCACACGAGCACACACACACACACACGAGCACACACACACACACATGCACAAACGCAAACAAAAACGCACACAGAAACAGAACCCACAAGCACACATGTACACAGACACACGCACACACACAAACACAACACACACAGAGAGAAACGTACACCCGCACGCATGCGTTTACACAAACACGCACCCACACACAAATACAAACACACACGCACACACACACACACGCACAAACACACACACACACACACAGAAACACACACACACAAACACAAACAGACACAACACACATAAACAAACACAATCACAACCACGCAGAAGCAAAAAAAACACTCACAAACACACAATTAGACAAGCACACAAGCACCAAACACACAAGCACGCACACACACGCACACACACACACAAACACACACCCACACACCCCCACACCCACACACCCACACTGAAAACACGCAAGCAAACACAGAGAGATAGAGAGAGAGACACACACACATGCGCAAGCGCACGTTAAAACACGCAAGCAAACACAGAGATAGACACACATGCACAAGCACATGCAAACACACAAGCATACACTCCGACACGCGCACCCACCCACACACACACCAGAAGAAATTGACAAGCAAGAAAGAAAGCAAGCAAACAAGCAACAACAAACAGACACAGACACAGGCACAGACACAGACACAGGCGCAGACACGGACACAGACACAGAACACACAGACACACAGACACAGAGATAGACACACAGACACGCAGACGCACACACACACCCACACCCACACCCACACCCACACCCACACCCACACCCACACCCACACCCACACCCACACCCACACCCACGCGCCCGCATACGCACACGCGCGCGCACACTTACACGCGCACGCAGCTGCACGCTCGCACGCACACGCACCCACACACGCACCTGCCCACGCGCACGCACACGCAAACGCACACGCACACGCGCACGAACACACACTCCACACGCACACGCGCAGGCACACACGCACAGGACCACACGTGCACACACGCGCCCCCACACCCCCACACACATGCACACACGCACACACACGCAGACACCCACACCCACACCCACACCCACACCCACACGCGCCCGCATACGCACACGCTCACGCACACTTACACGCGCACGCAACTGCACGCGCGCACGAACACGCACCCACACGCACACGCACGCGCACCCGCACACGCACCCGCACACGCGCACGCACACGCAAACGCACACGCACACGCGCACGAACACACACTCCACACGCACACGGGCAGGCACACACGCACAGGACCACACGTGCACACATGCGCCCCCACACCCCCACACACGCACACACGCACACACGCACACACGCACACACGCGCACAGGCAGACACTACACGCACACACACACACACACGGACACACACACACACAGAGAGACGCACGCACACACACACACAAGCACACACACACACCCACACCCACACCACACGCAAACGCACACGCACACGCGCACGCACACGCGCACGGACACGCACACGCACCCGCGCCTGCGCCCGCACCCGCACCCGCGCCCGCGCCGGCACCTGCGCGTGCACGCGCGTGGGCGCGCGTGCACGCGCACGCACACGACGTACAAACACGCATGCAAGCACGAAGACACGCACGTACCCATATGCCATATTACAGGGATGGGCATCGGCCCCTTACGTGGGGTATTAGACAGCCATGGAAAGGTTGCCTAAAAAGGAAAACATGAGTGTGCCCGCATAAAGTCAAAAGTCGCTGGTGGACATAAGCTGGCATGAAAATGATCTCCCGCAAAGGTCACCCATATTGTCTTTTGTTGCTTGTTTCGGGGATAAAATGATAAACACATTTCTCAAGATCGGCTTGATCGAAAGTCAGCCATATTATCTTTTGTTGCTTGTTTTGGGGATAAAAACGCATATCTCAGGATCGGCTTGATCGAGTTCGTTTCAGTGCGCGGAAACCTATTTGTAATGCCGTGCAACCCCCTCCCGCCCTTGGGCGGACTGGATGGGCTGCCAATTCCTGACAGAGAGTGAGAGTGAGAGAGAGCGCGATAGAGCGGGCGAAGGCTAGAGGGAGAGGGAGAGAGAAAAGCGGCAGGTAATTAGGTAGATAGCTGGATAGATGATCAGCCCCGTCTCTGGCGAGTTTTTGCGGCCGTTGGCAGCGTGCTTCGCAGGCAGCCGCTTGCGGCGCTGTTTGGGTCTCGATGCACCCAAAAAAAAAAGCGGCCAACCCCGAACCATGGAGCCAAGCACAAGCTGCCTTTCCCCATTGCAGGGGTGCTGGATCCAACGGCCGAACCTCCAGTCACGTTACGTTCCCGTTCAGCGCCGAGCCTGTTGCAGCTGGTAGCCTGGGTCATGGTGCCAGGCGGGGGCGCGGCTCCGGAGGGCAAAGGTGCTGTTGCTGGACGAGGCGCGAAGGGACCTGTTCGAGAGTAAAAGGTGGGGGCTTCTGGGATTCGTTTCGGTCTTTTGGCGCCGTTGGTGATGGGTCTGGGTGCATTGGGGTTTCGCAACTTGCGGCTAGAAAAGAAGCAGCGGGACGCGTCAGAGCTCACAACATCCTTGCCCAGCACGTTTGGGGGATTGGTCCGATGTCCGGGGCAAAGCCTGAGTTTGTTTGCAGGGGCAGGTCTGGGTCAAGGATGACCGTTTCTCTGAGAAGTTTTTCAAAAGCTGGGCCTCGATTGCAGGTGAGTATGCTCTCCGCGGAGTTCCTGGACCGAGCCGCTCAGCTGGTGGCGGAGCAAAAGCGCTCCCAGTCGCCCTTTGGAGGCACCTTGTGGGAGGTGCTCGGTCAGGTTTGATCAAAACGGGGCTTGATCTTTGGTCAAGGGAAGGCCTTGTTGGGCATGTCCCTCACAATCCTGTTCGGATTTTAAATTGATCAGTTGGCACTTATTGGCTGATGGGGCTCACGGCAAAAAGTGCCTCAACCTCACACATCTGAAGCCCAGAGCTGCAGAAACCCGGGTCGCAAAAGCTGCGAGGCTCCGTCGCAGCCGTCTCAGGTGCTCACGTGGTTGGGATTCCAAACAGCCATTCCAAGAGGCGCCTGCGCCCCCCATTCGCATGATTTTGTGTCAGGAAGGCCTGTCTTTGCATGCCTGTAGAACAACTTTCCTGCGCCATGAAGGTGGATGTTCACCTGCCCAGCGGAGATAGGTTCTCCGCAGAAGTCTCACCGGCTACGCCCGTCAGCCAGCTCAAGGCAGCAGCGCAGCAGCATTTCCAGCGGCGCTTGAGGCTCACTGCGAAGGGCCGGCAGCTCGATTTGACGGCCACCCTGAGCGAGGCTGAACTGCGAGATGGGGAGGTGGTGACTGCGGCGGTGGAGCTGGGCAAACTGGCTGCCACTCATCAGGTGCAGAGTGGGGCGGAGACAGCAGCCAGGTGCAAGAGCAGACATACAAGCAACTGCCCGTGCTTTTGCTGCCATTCTGGAATCTGGGGCTGTTGTGACTTGGGGTGATCCAGAATTTGGCGGAGACAGCAGCCAGGTGCATGAGCAGCTCAGGAATGTCCAGTGCATCCAAGCAAGTGCCCGTGATTTTGCTGCCATTCTGGAATCTGGGGCTGGAGTGATATAAGATGGGGCGGAGACTGCAGCCAGGCACAAGAGCAGCTGAGGAACGTCCAGCACATCCAAGCAGCTGCCAATGGTGCGTGTGCTGCTATTCTTGAATCTTGGGCTGTTGTGACCTGGGGTCATGCAGACACGGGCGGAGACAGCAGCCAGGTGCAAGAGCAGCTGAGGAATGTCCAGTGTGTCCAATCAACCATTGGTACGTTTGGTGCTTTCGCAGCCATTCTCGAATCTGGGGCTGTTGTGACCTGGGGTAAGCCGGAATATGGTGGAGACAGCAGCCAGGTGCAAGAGCAGCTGAGGAACCTGACGGTGCTTTTGCTGCCATTCTTGAATCTGGGGCTGTGGTGACCTGGGGTCAGCCACAACGTGGCGGAGGCAGCAGCCAAGTGCGAGAGCAGCTGAGGAACGTCCAGCACATCCAAGCAACTGCCCGTGCTTTTGCTGCCATTCTTGAATCTGGGGCAGTTGTGACCTGGGGCGATCCATTTTAAGGCAGAGACAGCAGCCAGGTGCAAGAGCAGCTGAGGAACGTCCAGCACATCCAGGCAACACGCAATGCTTTTGCTGCCATTCTTGAATCCGGGGCTGTTGTGACCTGGGGCCATCCACAACGTGGCGGAGACAGCAGCGAGGTGCAAGAGCAGCTGAGCTTGTAGCTTGGTGCTTGTGTAAGATGCAGTGCGCTAATATTGGGTCTTAAAAGCGTGCTCAACACCACACAAAACCACACAACACACACACACACAAAACTACACCACAAAACAACCCAACCAACCCAATGCAATCCAACCTGGTGTTTCAATCCCCCAGCCCATTCAAAACATAAATACCGGTTTCCAAGGACCCGATTTGATATCTGCAGTCACACGGATCCCCATTGTAACAGATTGAAGTACATACTGGCTCTAGGCATGGCAGGGCATTTTGCCTTGACGTAGGCAGCGTGGAAAGGACGCGCGGTGCACAAGCCGCACCTTTAGGCCCACTGCTTGTTGATGAGTATTGATCGCATGGTAAGCGAGAGCCTCGTGAACCTATTCGCATTGAGGTTGCGGACGGCAAGCGGGCCTGCGCAGGCCATGAGCAAGGAAGGCGGGCCGAAGATCTCTTCCTGGTCTGGCCCTCGGAGTTTGAGGCCTGTGTCACGGCCTGCAAGTGGTACGTGAAGGGCATCAAGGACTTAGCTGTGGCTTGGTTGGCTGTGGAGCTCGACGATGAGACGGGCCTGAAGCGGTTCTTGGAGGTGCTTTGCCGCTTCAGCAGTTGCCGATCCCGGATTCGTTCTCCAGGGTGTTCACGGAACTCCAGCAATCCCTCGCACGGAGCTGCTGAGGCCCCTGGAGGAGCATCACCACGGCTGGATCAACCTCAAGGGAGTCGGCGGCGGAAAGGAAGATAGACGAGAAGAAGGAAGTGGAACCCTTGAAGGAGCTGGACTTCTTCCAGGGCGGCCACTTTGGGCATGCTGATTGACTGCGCGCGAGAGCCGTCTCGGTGCATCGGTGCAAGTCTGCGCTGCAATTCTTGTGGCTCCAGGATGAACCGGAAGGTGGTGGGGTGGAGTATTGGGATGAGCCTGACGACAGAGGCCTAGTACGGCATGGATGACTGTGGCCGCGGAGATGATTAAAGCGAGAGGGCCCGAGTGGTGACCTTTTGTTATTGCAATACACATCAACAAGTGATGGACCTAAAGGGTGCGGCTTGCGCACCTCGCGTCTTTTCCGCGTCTATGCTGCGTCAAGGCAAAATGCCCTCCCATGCCAGTGGCAAATGAGATATGTACTTCAATCTGTTACAACCCGGATCCGTAACCAAAACCCTTGAATTTGCTCCCTCTATGGCCTCATTCCAGGCGCTGAATGCCTTCACTAAGTAGGTACGCTGCTCCTGCAGCTTCTTCATCAGCTCTGCCTGCTTGACCTTGAACTTTGGGTCATCCACAAATGACCATCGTTGGCGACCGTGAAATCAAACATCATCTGCTTGGCCCACTGCCTTACTTTGTTGGGCAGTTGAGGCACCTCATGTGAATCCGCACCCGCATCAGTCTTGTCCGGACCATTCCACACATGCCCATCCGCAAGGACTGCTTCTTCACCTCAAGAGTCCTCTTGGGCCTGGCCTCTTTTGGTGCTTGAAAGTTCTTATTCCTCCGTCATGCGCTCGGCTCCACCATGGTCTCCAGCTCCTTGATGGTTGACTTTGATTTCGTTATGTTGGCGCCGCTGGACTCTGGGGCCTGGCAAGTCCGCCTGACCACCTCCCGAGCTTCTTTCAAAGTCCTGTTTGCCTCCATGAGCTGTGTGGCCTCCGGATTGCCCGGTCAAACCTCATCCATCTCAAATGGCCACCGCTGCTCTCTGCGCCACTTCCTTGCTGTGCGGGGGGAAAGCCAACAAAAATCAGCAGATTGCCTTCCTGGTTTCAAAGTGGTTTGTAGGAACTTCCAGCTTTTCTTGAGTGCGTTCAACAAGGCAACTGCAGTTCCTTGCTTAGTTTTCATTGCCTTCCTTGGTGTGTTTTTTGTGGCTCACTCCATTTGAGTCGGCACAGGGATGACAAGTGGCCATTTTGACAGCTGGACCATTGCCTCCTGGGGCGACTGCATTCTAGATCCTGCGGACCTTTTCCTAACAATCACACTCTTTCTGTGCGCTTGTTTTGAAGCCTTGCGTATATCCTTCAGGGTCCCACTTGGCGGCTAAGAAGAGAAAACCGGAACATCGGACTTGGTCTTTGCTTATTCTAAGATGGACCTTTTCTTTAAGCCGTGATGCGAATGCAAAGAGTGGCAACATATGTGTCAAAATAGGGGACAGAAAGGGAGCCCCCAAACAAAACTTGCGAAGAATCAGAACCCCATGTGCACGGAAACGCGGTATGCCGCCCAAAATCACGCCTGCAGTCCTTGGCGCAGGCAGCGCATCTATCATTTTCTTTCTACTCTTTTCTTTGGAGCACCCAAACCCCCGGTTGGTTGCATAATATGGGGGTATAATAGGTAAGGGGGCCTATGTAAACATTCAGATGCCACTGTAGAACCCAGAGCACTCAGGGTGCTTGGCTGGCACGGGCATAATTGCATTGTTGCCATTGGTAAAGATGCAATGCTGACTCATGGGGGCTAATACCGCCCACGCAAGCGGCATTGCTCAGGCTGCGCTGTCAAATGCAGAGGTGCAGCGTGTCGTCCACAGACTTTTGTTCTTCTCTTTTTTTCCCCGCACGGAAGACTAAAAAAAGGAATTGGTGACCTCCCTTGGAGAAAGCAACAAGAAGCAACCCAGTCACCTGGAAACCAAAAGGAAACCAAGATAAACCCAAGAGCAGGCCAAACAGACAGCAAATGGGTGTGTCGTTTTTGAGGGGACCCTCCAGAATGCCGGAATGGCAGAGCTTCTCAGGACACCAGCAAAAGCATCTTAGGGATGTGTATGTAGGGATGAGAAGCTAATAAGCTGTAACTGGGATCCTTCTCTTTGCCTCATCGTTTCGGAAACCCCCATTGCCCACCGGGTCCCTCAGCAAAACATCCCTTGAGCCACGCAAGCTTCCGCTTCAGGGCTGCAGCTGGTCTTCTGCGGGGATTTCATGCAGCTGCCCCCGGTGCAGGGGGCCTTTGCCTTTGAGGCGCAGGCTTGGCAGGAGTGCCTTGGATCCAATGCTGGGAAGGCGGTGAAGCAAATCAAGTGCGGGGAAGGGGGGTGGGGGTGCGTGTTTCTGGTGGGTTGAGGCCTTGATCTGTTGAAGCTTGCGATTTGCTCAGTTTTGGGTTTGGCTTGAGGGGAAGGGAGCTGTGACGTGTCAGCAAAACTTGTAGTCGTTTTGGTTTCCCCTGAAACCAACCTCAAAGCCGGACACACACGCACACATGCATGTTTTCCGACCTCCCTGCTGTTTGAACCCACACCTCCAGTGGCGCCGTTTTTTTTTTGGATTGGATGATTAGGTCCCCCTTAAACATTAGCAACAGAAAGGAGCGCTTCCCATGGCCACGTGAATCGGCGCAGGCTTGGCTTCCAGTGCTTCAGCCTGCAAAACAACTTCCGGCAGGCCGGCGACGCCGCTCTGCAGGCCGACGGCTTGGGAAGGCGAGGGTTGGCCCGACCCCGGCATTTGGGCTTGTGGTTTTTTGAGGGTTATTCTATTTTCTTGTTTGGTTCAAAAGACACCAAGAGGGAAACCACAATTTGTGGGATCTCTATTTTGACATACCCACATTTCCAGGTGAAAACACGTCCAAGTACGACCTGACTTAGAGCAGGCGGTTTTCAAAGCATCCTTTAAAGAAGCAAACAAACAAGGACACAATTCAGGTGAAGCATCAGAGCTTCTGCTCACCCCACAGCCCCTGCACAAATGTTTCTTTGTTTCTTTTGTTTGCCGTTTTTGTGTACAAAAGCTGACCCCCTCCAACCGCCCAACCCTAACCTCCCACCACCCCCCCCCCCCCCACGCCCGGAGGATCTTCTGCGGCAGCTGCGGCAGGGCCAGCTGCCCATCGAGCGGCTGAAAGCTCTCGAGGCCCAACTGGCGCAGTTCTCCATCGCGCCAATGTTACCATCCCAAAGTAGTAAAGGAGCATATTGGAGCTGCAACACTCTGTGTGAGCATCCTGGAAGCGGAATTGTGGCTTGCTCTGCTTGTTCCCTTGCGTTTGGTCTTGTGTGGCTTGGTTTGTTGGCAGCGGTCAAGGGGTGAGCAACCTCACTCGAGCCTTCCTTGATGGGGAAGGACCAAACAGGAAACTAAGGACCCCTCAAAGAGAGTGGTCGTTAAGCAATGCTTTTGTTTGTCTTGGTTTGTTTCGAGAACCAGCCAAGACCAATCCCAAGCTGACGTCAATTTGAGATGCGAGCTGCGTGGGTTGATGACCCCATGGAGCTAAAGATTGCATGAGACTTTGGGTTTTTGCTTGGCTTCAAGGAAACACACAAAAAATAAAGCTGGCCATTTTGAGGGCCAAATGAGCAGCGCGCGTCACAAACCGAGTAGGAACCGCACCTACGTGGGAGTCCTGCACATTTGGCAGATCTGGAAAGGGAGCCCCACAAGACCGAAGCTCCAGAAAGCAGGCTGCAGAAGGGACATTCCTGACATCTAGACACCCCTTCATACACCATGTGCAGGATCAGCAAAAGGTATGTTTTGTTTTTTTTTGCGCCCCTGATGTATGCCTATGGAAGAGGCGTCAGCTTGATGTTGCCCAACTGAGACTGGTGCTAACCAGTTACCAGTGCCGAAAAGTTGTTCCAACGGCCGCCAATGAATCTACCCTCAAAGATGCGTGGTTGACCTATAGGAGTGTGTTTGTCGGGTGGTCGGAGCAGTTTTGCAAAAGAGCAGTCGCAAGGGCAACGGCGCCGATGGAAGCTACCCCATGCTTGTGAGCACCAACGCAGAGGCGGAGGCGGGATCGGAGTGCCGCCGGGGGGGAGAGGACTGCCCTGCTGCGGGTCATGGCCTTTTGGGTTTTAGGGTCAAAATCCCGCACCCCCAGTCAACATCCCAATGCCCACTAAAATAGACTAAAATGGGTGGTGCACCCACCCCAAAATGGTACCATTGGTTTTGACCCGCAGCCATATGTTCCATCTCAGGCAGTGAACCGCGCCAAGCTGGACAGTCTCCCTGGCGCCGCGGTGGTTTTCCGGGCCAAGGCCGGAAAGCGGAAAGCGGAAAGCCAGGGCATTGAAGGGCAACGCGGGCTGTCGGGGTAATGTTTGGGCATCCTTGTGGCCCCTCCTTAAAACCATCCAACATGGGTCCTTTTGAGAACCCCTGTTTGGTTCCCCTTCCGCCCACCAACATGACGCCTTTGAGAGGGTGCCCAGATCATCATTTCTTTTGGGGGAACCTCCTGTCAGGTGCCATTTTCGTGGCAGGGAGGGCATTTGGGTGGTTCTCCCAAGAGCAAAGGAGGACTACAAACAGTGAACATGGCATGGAAGGTGTCCAAGCACCAGCCAATCATTGAGATGTCGCAGGGTCTAACCAGTTTTGATGCATCCCATGGGAACGCAGTAGGCCAGTATTCTTGGCATCCAAAGTAGGTATCCCCTTCAGGGGATGACTTGGATAGGAACACAGAAGGCTTAAGGTGGTCTCGTGCAGGCATGTGGCAGGCTCTGGGTCCGTTTAGCTCACACAGACCAGACACCCACACCCAAGTTGTTGTGCGTCCTTCTAGCCAGTTTGCCCTGAAATTTACAGGGCCAAGTTCCGACCGACATGTTCATTTTGTCCAGAGTTCTAGCTCCCCTAGCAAAGAGCTACAGGGAAGCTCGCATGCGCCCCCCTGAAATGGGTCATCCCTGGCATCTCCAGCACTCTTGATCTCGGCCTATTGTCAAGGGCTAATTGCATGGACCCAGATTTGAAGTGCCCCTTGATCGACATATTCAAGAAGTGCCACAACTAGTCATTGGTTCACCCAGACGATTCATGAACCAGATCCCTGAAATCGTTGAGGATGTGTTGGGCGGCTTCTCGCCCTTGAGGATGAAGCAGAGAATCCCAAGAACTTCACGGGGCGTGGGGCATTGGAGAAGCTCATGGTCCAAGAGGAGCTGCACTTGAAGGCTCCGGGGGAGAGGGGGTGTGGGGTGGGTTGCGGGAGGGGGGGGTGGCCGGGGATGGAGGGTATTCGGGCTCTGTTCAGATTTTAATACATCATGGTTGAAAACTAGTTGCAACCATAAGACACCCAAATAACTACCTTTAAAAGCAGTTGGTCCTCAGTTTCGCAAAGACCAACCCAGATGGCTGGTGGACCGCATTCATGGGTCCTTGCCACGGCATGCAAGGTGCCGTGGCGCACGCCTTAATACCACAATGGCTTATGGGCATTTGGTTCAGGCCCGGGATCATGAGTGGCACGAAGGCAATCGAAACTGAAGCCATAAAGCATCAAAGACCAGCAGTGCAAAAAGCCTGAATGGCTAAGGAGCCGGTGCAGCCAGCCTTTCCGAAAGCCGAAAAATGATATACACGCTCTTGGCGGCGTCATGGGAGTTTTGTCCGGTCGCCGCGTGTTGTCGCTCCAAGTTTGAACCCTGCTGCCCACTCTGAACCAGCTCACTGCTCGTTTTCTTGTTTTGTTTTTTTACCCCGTAGGCTCTCATCATGAGAGCTGCACTTCATGGGGGAGGCCCCCTGGATTGCATCTCAAGTTTTTGGTATGTTCCCCAAGCTGCTCTCACAGCGCTTAACAGAAAGGTCTCAACAGTTCCTTTCAGGTGGGCAGTGTGGTGATGCTGCTGGTGAACCTCCGGCTGCCAGACAAGTGCTTCCACACTCCCCGCCCAAGTCCGCCAAGGCGGTTCCAGATGCCGGGGCTGCCACAACCCCTGGTTGACCTGGCGGCCCACAACATGATGCCTGGCGAAAGCTGAGGGGACGCCTACGTCGCCATTTTCCACCCGGGTCCTTTGCTGAAGGTTGCGATTATGAGCTTAGACTCGGGTTTCGCCTTTGCCTGCTTGGGGCACTCAGCTTGAACCTCGGGCAGCGGAAGCGGTCATGCTGTAGCGAGGGGCCAATGCACGCGCCTCTTCCTTTGTCGGCCGCCCCATAGCTTTCAACCGGTGAACCCTTGGTCACATGGGTAGGGTTTCCCTGTGAAATAAAGCTGCGAAAACATGAGAAAAAGGCAGGGTTTGCCTTCTTCTATTCCCCTGCCCCCAAAACAACCACGCCAAAGAACACGTAAATTGAGGGCCAATCAAACGTTGTCAAGTCAGGGGCTGCTGGCCCACGGTGCTCTTGCAGATAACCCTTGGGAGCTCGATCTTCCATGGGTAAGTTTGCTTCTGGAAACGTCGTGCTTGTTACATCTTGGTTGCCCTTCGCACAAACATAGCATCCGTGGGAGGGTACCTGGAAGATAAATTTCTTTTTCAAGGGACCCTCCGTCAGGTGGCGTGTTACATGAATCCTTGGCGCTGGTTGGGGCTGCCCGGCCGATGGATTGATGGATTGGAAGAAGAGCTCGTGTGGTCGTTCGTCCGTTAGTCGTTTCTTCCTAGCTTCCTCTCCTCTTTGCGTCTTTCCTACTTTCCTACTTTCCCTTCTCCTTGCCTACCGTGCAACGTGGATATGCATCAAAGCTCCGATGCCGTGGCCTTGCGTAGGCCTGACACAGGCATGTTGTCAAGGATGTTGTTCTGTGGTACCCATTTTTCCTTTGGTTTGGTGGGCGCTCACATGGTCAGCCCCAAAACGGGGTCCTACACGACATATCAGAAAGTCGGAACGGAATCATCTCCGGGTTTTTTGGACATTGCCTTCCTCCTTGGCTCCCCTTTTGACGTTTGTTCCCAAGCCGGCAGGCCCGGAGGCTTCGCTCTCCACCCAAACCAGACAACTAGATTTGTCCTTGGCCTGTGCCGCTCTTAACTTGGGGGCTTGCAAAAGAGGCATGCAAAGCTGACCTTTAGAACGATTCTTCTTGGCTTGGGCAGGTCCTTCATGGGAAACAGAGCCAAGGAACGGCTTCCAGCTTTGGGCTGTTTGCAAAGGGCAGGCAGTGGGGGGTTTGATTCCTCTCATCAAGGGAAACGCAACAGGGCCCCCTCAACCACCGTTCGGAGCTTCAATCTGCAGCGCTCGTTCCAAGGATGAACACGCCAGAGCATTTCAAGAGCGTGCCGTTGGTGAACGGCACCGTCGGGGTGGTGATAGACTTTGAGGAGGGGATGGTGGGGATGGCATTGGCGAATGTGGGCAGCCCCGCAAAAGGCAGCGCGCGCGGCTGAGGGGCGGGTCGGCGGGGGGGCATCTTTGGACGAGTCTCGAAGCCCTTGAGATCAGACCTTCTGTCATGGGGCTGCCACTGAAAGGGGCTCGGCAGTATCAGTAAGTGCTTCGCCTGTACTTGTGGGGGGTCCACCCCCCATTTCTTCACGGAGCCCTTGTGGGCTATGCGCGTGTTGAATCATGTGCAGACACTATTTGTTGTTGTTTCACCTTTACTCTTTCCAACACGTTGCTGCCTGTTGTTGTGGCATCCAGCCTTCGGATTGGGGCAAGTAGGTTTGCAGCCCTTCCCTCTTGGTGGGTGGTGCTTGGGGAGGGCCGGCATGCAACTCCTGCTTCTCCGGTAGGACGGCTTTCCGGTGGTTGAGTTCGCACGGCGCTACCGCCGCTTAATCGAGCCCGTGAAGATGGAGGGCGAGCTGGGCTTCCTAGGAAAGTACGCGCGCACGCAGGCGGATAGGGTGATGGTGGTGGGCCCCAACCAGAGGGAAGCTTAAGTCAAGATGTTAAGAACAAGTGGCTCAAGTGTTGATGAAACATGTTTTAAACAGGCGGTGGTCCCTGGCGCCGCCGGTTCTAAGGCTTGCTGCACCCTTGGGGGTTCCGAAGGGGGTGAAGCAAGCAGTTGCCACAGCCCAGCCTCGCCTCTCGGCGCCCCGCCATGTGCTTGCCTAGCGCCTGGCTTGCGAATGTGGGGTGTGAGAGGTGTGAATGGATGTTTTGTCCTGGGATTTCAAGGGACGTCCTTTCTTGCATTTGCTGAGATGATAGGTAGGTTCGGGATTGGCCTTCCTCACAGCTTCTGGGGTGGGGGGGGGCAAAGTGGCCTCTGCCATCTTCTTTGGCCATCGTTGTTCAGTGACGATGTAGGAGGAGGACTGCTCAGACTGCTCCGCTTGCTGCCCCTGCAAGTTGGATCGCTCAGCTGGCCGACAGGTGCCACTGAAGCTGGCTTGGGCGCTGACCATCCACAAGACGCAGGCGACACCGTAGCAACAAATCGACAACTGGTGGACGGCTTGGGAGCAGCAAGGCCAACGCGCCAGCGTTTTCCAGCTCATTGTCGCTTATTTGGGATCCAGGAGGCAGCCCAGGCCCCACATTCAAGTGAGTCAAAACCTCTGTAAGAGCTGCTTTCGAAGACCCCAGCTAGGAGTTTTGCAAGGGGAATATTGCGATGAAGAAGGCTGATTTCATCGTGCATAGGTGCATGCTGCCACTTGCTACTCTTTCGGGCAACCCCCAATTATTCCTTCGGGTGTTTCGTTCAACGCGGCTGTGGTGCCGGTCGAGCTTCACCGGACCAAAAAGGCAGGCAACCCCAGGACCAGTTGCTTCGGGGTCAAACAGCTCTTTCTGAACCCGAAATCGGCCACCGACCAACCCGAAATCGAAATAACTCGGCCATCGAAATGCCAGCGGCCAGGGGCTCACGCTGAGCTCGGGCCAGCTGAACCTCTCCAAGGTCTTCGAGCCCGCGCAGCTCTACGTGGCGCTGTCCCGGTTCCAGACCCTGGACTCTGCGCCTTGGGGTCGACGGACGGGGCGGTTTGTTTTCGGTTTGGGGGATAAGCCGGCGCCCGCTGGCATAGAGCCGGTGGAGTGATGTGGGGGAAGGCACAGGGCAGAAAACTCCGCCACTGGGTAGGAAAATAGTGATCTGGGGCCGACCCCGTGCCTCAAGCCTAGCTTTGAAAGAGGCATTTGGCTTCACCAGGGTGCTCCAATCGCTCCAATGCTTGGGTCACTTCCTCATTTTCATTTGCTTTGGGGTTGGGGTCAAAATTGCTGGACCCCCATATTCACATAGCCGCTGTTGTCACGAAGCAGGGGGCTGGGATTCTGCGGTTGGCGTCCAACGAAGACACCACAGAAATCCTGTGAAATGGATCGGGGACAGCGTCCGTGCTCCGGTTTGGGTTCAGATTCGCGTTGGGTGCTGGGGGGGGGGCAGCTTTTCAGTTGTGTGTGTGTGTGTGTGTGTGTTGGGCGTGGGGGCTTGTCTTCGGGTTTGAATCTGTTCTCGGATGCCCCCAGGGTGGTCGTGGTTCGGGATTTGTGTTCAGGCTGAGAGCTTGAGTTTCCGCCAGGTGGATTCAAGTCAAGGTGATTTCAAGAAGCGCAACCTTTTGGCCAGCTGTAATGGCAGCTGTTGCCTTGAATGGCAGTTCGTCTGACTTACATGTACTTTCATGTTCACTTGCGTTATTTGCCACATTTGTGCTTGGCAGGCTTGGTGATGTGGGTTCATTCTGCACCATGCCGTCTATGTCTGTGTCCTGTGGCTCATGAGCCAAAATGGCTCCAGCCTGGAGCTGGGAATCTTTTTGCCCTTGTTTCGGGCGCGTCCTTGGGCCATGGCCAGCTCACCTGAGCTCCTCGCTGGCAACGAGGTTGCTGGGGCCTGGATGCAGGCGGTTGGCATCGAGACCGATGCCGACTTAGCCTTCTACTTCGAGAACTACCAGCAGGCGGAGCTCAGTGGGGCTGCGGTGGCCCGTGCCTGGCTGTCTGCCAGAGACCGGGTGTGGGCGGTATGGTGCGCGACCTTTACCGCGTCAAGGTGGTGGAGCCTGAGGCGGCGATGCCTTCAGGGTCGCAGCCTGCCCGGCGTGTCTCGCTGCGCACTGACCCTGAGCCCCACGCAGAGCTTTCAACGGCAAACAGCGCGTTTCGCCCCATGCTGCTGCAGGTTCTTGCCCGGGCTAGTCGCTGGCAACATGCGTGTGATTGAGAACACAATGTCTGGACTGCTTCAGAAGCTGTTGTCGACCACGGAAACAGCCACCCTGAAGAGGGTGGCTAGGACCTGGGGCGAGCTCGTGGATGCAGCGCGGCCCGCTGACATCGCGCCGCCTCTGCTGACCCCGTTCTTCATGGCGCAGTTTTTCCGTACCTCTTCAACACCGTCTCGATCGTTGTCAGCCTTGCGCTGGATGCAGCGGAGCCTCTTTGTGGACATTGATGCGTGTCAAATCGGGTCGAGTCAACCACGCTTGGGCTTGATGGCCGTCGCAGAGCCTGCCATGAATCATGGCCGTGTTTGCTCGGAGCTTGGCTGCAGTGCTTTGGGTGCCTGCGGTGGCAGCACCTGCAGCGCAGCAAGCTGGTACGCATGAGCCAGCGCACACTGCATTTCCTTTGCCTGCGGGGCAAGACTTCTGGGCAGAGGCATGGCTTCTTGTGGTCTTCCCCGCGCTTCACCTCCAACTTCGACGTTGGCAGTGCGCTGACCCGTCTGGTCGGTTCCCGAGCAACACCCGGGCTTGTCTTCCACCCCATTTCGGGGGAGATGATGCGGCAGTCCGCTGCGCAGGATGCGGTCCGTCTGGCCTTGTCGACCTTGGTGTTTGAGGACGACCTGGCGCTGGTAACCTCCAAAAGCTGGCGGCAGGCGGCCGTCACCTTGGCAGGTTTGGAGCCAGCCGACATGGTGGCGCTTGGCAACTGGACCGACAAGTCTCATGCCGATCAGTCCCGGAGCTTGATGCCGCTTCGGTGCCACAGCGCGAAGTACATCCAGAGCGAAACAGTCCAGCACGCTTTCCGCCACAGCATCCAGCAGCTGCGCCGTCAGCTTTCCTGTTCGTGGAAGCAAGCGGCGTCTTGCCAGGAACGATGCAGCTTGCTTGATGGCGGAGGAGGAGCAGTTCGAGTGGTCGCAGGAGCTGCCTTCCTTGCGGCACACAGAGCGGGCTGTCCGCCTGCGCAAAGGTGTCCTCAAGTGGAGGCCCCGCAGTGACACTGCCTCGCGGAAAAGGGCTCGGGAGCCGTCTGCCCTGTTGCCATCGAGGCTGCCGCAGAGCCTGGCGGTTCCCGGCCGCAGGTGGCGGCTGAAGGTGATGGCTCCAAGAGTTGCCCAGCGGTCACGGCCATGCCCCGAAAGCGTGGCCCGTTGACGTTGCCGTCCACGCCGCTGGAAATTGGGGAGGAGCCTCACAACGAGCCCACAGAGGATGACTACTTTGATGAGCTCGCGAAAGCGCGCTGGCGACGCCCGGCCACGCAGACGGACCTGAGCCTCGCACAGTTATCCATTGCTTGGACACGCATCAGGGCTATCCAGCAATCCTGTTGGGGGGTCTCCCTGCAGAAAGGGATTTTGCTCGCTTTCACAAGCTCAGGCTTTGATCGTGTCGGTCTTCAAGGAGTCTCTGGAGAGCCGCGGCGTCCGAGTTGCATCCGGGATCATGACCCTCAATTTCCCACTGACGGACATCCGCTCCAGGGATGCTGCTTGGCAGCGGCTCCTCTCTCTCCTCATGCCGTGCTTCGAGGACCGCATCCATTGTGCAGCAGGAGTTCACCGAGCCCGGTTGGTGCAGGCATGGTGCTTGCATTGCTACGTGGCATCTCCCTGTCTGCCGCGCTGCAACACATTCAGCGCTTGCGCAACGTGGAGCCGCACAAGGTGTTGTCCAGGGGTGGCTTGGCTTGCTGGTGCCATGAACGCGCTGATGGCGATCGCCCCGTGCCATGTCGGATTGGGCGGAAGCGCACGGCCGTGCAGCCTGGCACGTGAGGCCCAAAAACATAATGCCAGAGTCCCCCGGCCGGCATGCCGGTGGCGGCAGAGCAGATCTGGCCAGCGGCAGTGGTCTATGAACGGCCATTTTGCTGGTCATGTGTTAGCTTTTTCGTGATGTACTGTTGCTTCGGGCTGTTGCTGCTTTCCTTTTTTGACAGTTGCCCACAAAAGCACATCCATGTGTGTAGGTTGGTTTTCGTATCAACTTGCCAGACCTAGCGCCTGTTTCGGCTGGAAGCCGGCAATCCCCAAGGCGGTGCGACTTGCTTGCTGCGGGGCGGTTTTCCTTTGTGCTGCAAGGTCTCAACTTGACAGGCCTCGTAGCAACAAGGGCCCCTTAGCTAAAGGCAGTTGTTACGTCCAGAGCAAGTGCGCTGCTGCTGCTTCTGTTTAGCAATACACCTGCTTAGGCAGCTTTGTTGCATTTAGCGTGCCGCGCATACTCCACAGCTCGTCTAGCTGCTCTGTGGCGGGCTGTAGAACTTTTCCTGGTCATGTCGTCCCCTCAAGAGCTCTTTGAGGCCTTGGCCGAGCGGTTCCAGTTCGACAAGCTAATTGTCGACCACATTCTGGATGCTGGCGTCACCTCCCTGAGCGACTTCAGGTACTATTGTGCTGCTGAGGCCGAAGTGGTTCATCACGCCAATTGAGAGCAATCTCAAAAATGCTCGGTTGGAGGCAGCTCGCCTGAAGCATGCGTGGGCGTCAACTATAACGCAGGAGTCCCAGCAAGTTACTGCAGGGTTGGATCCGCTCAACGAGGACGAGCTGTTGCCTGCCACCCAGCTGACGGACATCCGCGCGGCCTTCCACAAGCGCTACAAGATGTCCTTTGTGCCTGAGCAATTGCCCTCAGACTGTTTGCTATCAAAGCTGCGCCGCGCCATCCAGCGGCGCAACATCGAGGTGCTCGAGGTGATCGACCTGTGGTCCGTGCGCGCCATCTACAACCAACGCATGGGCATGGCCAAGAAGCGCAAGATTGCGTGGGTGGAACAGGCGGGGGACAAGGAGATTGACGTCCGCGTTGAACGCTCGTGCCAGTCTTGGCTGGACCTTTTGCACACATACTGCTTGGGACTGGCCATGGCGGGAGTCTCCCCATTGAGCCAAACCCAAAGGAGCAGGAGACGTCGACGTCATCTTCCCTTCGCTACGTGCAAGTCCCTTGGGATGTGACCTTCAAGTACCACTGGAGGGCACGTGCTGTGGCTAGCAAGATGGGGGATGGTTGCCTAGCTCGCTTGATCCTCCTCGACCAGCAAGAGAGATCGGAATGGGAGAGCTCCACTTCCAGCCTCGGGGAGGTCATTGCGGAGGTCTACCAGCTGCGCGATGTGCATTGGCAGTCTGCCATGAGCAACGGGAGCCCAAACAGCATGCCGTGGTATCGCCGAAACTGAGGTGCACCAGCTTGGGCATCATAGTAAGCCACTACACAAGCCCAGCTGTGGTCAGGATCCATTGGCATCTTGCGGTATGCGCTGGGGAGGTCTTCGCCAGCAGATAGAACATCGTCGGGCCAAGCGGCGTCGGTGCCGAGAAGATCCTGCACCGCCTGCGCTAGGCAGTGCAGATGGATGCAAGGCTGAAGATCTGAGCAGAACTGCAGGTGATTCGAATCGTGGCTATGATAGCTCTGCCCTCCACTAAGCGCGTCGTCGATGACGCGCTTTTTACCACTGCTTTGCGTGATGACAAACCGGCGGATCAAGCGAAACGGGCGGCCGACGGCCAGCAGCTGCCCCCAGGACATGGGAGGTCCGCAGAACCCAGCAGCTTCGTCCTCGACGCCTGCTCTGTGCACAACGTCATCGTCTACCCCTGGCTGGAGAGACTTGAGGATCCTGCGTGCGTCAGCCGTGACCCACAGCTGGAAAACCGTGAAGGAAGCCGGATAAAAGACCAGAACCTGGCCAGGAGAACACGACCACCAACAAGGCAATCAACGCCATGCGGTTGTCCGGGTTGACTTGGCAAACAGTGTCGGGCTGCTGCGAACGTATGTAGCACAAGACAGGCTCCAGTCGACGCCCGAGCTCCTCCACTGCCGCTCAGGCTTGATGGCGAAGCCGCTCAAGCGAGCCAAAGTGCTTAACTGCCTCAAATCGCAGATCCAGGTCAGCTGGAGCCGGAAAGTCAAGAGAGCAACCCTGACGCCGCACCAGCGGCGCCTGGGAGAAGTGCTGTTCGGGCGAGAGGCCAAAGGGAACCACTGGTGCCATGGCTGAGCGCCGCGCAGCTGCGCCTGCTTGCTGCGCCACGAAAGCTCGCACTGCAGACACGCCGCAACCCGGGAGGGCAGACGGCCCTAACGGTCCATCAGAAACCAGACCTTGGTCCTGGATCCAGCGGTGGAACCCGAGGAGCACGGGGTCGTTAAGAATGGACGCCATGTCGGGCCACGCTACGTTGTGAAAATCCAAGTTGGGGAAGAGGCCGCGAATTGCGCCAACGACTGCTGCCTGGGAAAAGGGCGCAAGCGAAGATGACACTGTTCGCACGCCTGCCGCCGATCCAGCAACGCCGGGCAGTTGTGCGCGCTCCTGTGGCTGCGAGCTACAACGGACTTCTTCCCAGAAGAAGCCTGCGAGAGCATCAGCGTGGCAGTGCGTGCCGACAAGGCAGTCGCAGGCCAGACGCTTGCCCCGCAGCTCGTGCAACTGCTGCTTCAAAGGGGCAGCTTGCATGTGCCTAATGTACTGGACGAGCACCTCAGCAGGAGATCCGCGGCGTCCAACTTCGAAGGGGCAGCGCCATTTGACACAAGGCCACCGGTGCGAAAAGTGGCCATAACCAACGTACATTACGTCTTCAGGCAGTGGCTGCCCTTTCACAAACACAGACTCTATGTTGCGCCGCTTCGGGCGGGTAGAGTCCGGTAAACAAGGCCACAGGTGTCATGGCGTCGCGCCGGAATGCTCTTGATGGCATGGCCAACCACGAGCGGCGATCTCCTGAGGGCTCAAATGGGTGGCAACCGTGAAATTTTCATCGTGGCCCACCCGCGCCGGGCAGCCCAATAAGATGCTGCAGCAGCTAACGTGAAAACCAAAAGTGCTGTGTGCTCCGTTTCCTCGCATGACGGCGAGATGACCTCCCCATCCAGAAAATGTCGCTCTCCAGCCTCATGCTGGTGGGCACAGACCGAGGCCGGAAGTTTGTTGAGTTCATCTAAGTTGTGGCGAAAACGTTCCTGCTTGCGCCTAGCTGTCGTCCCATTCACCCGAGGAAGCCAAAAACACCTCGCAGGGGTCGCACCAGTGAAGGCTTTGGCGTGGGTTCTCGCGGAGTGCCCCCCGGGAGTGAAGGTTCATGACGAATTGGATTGCTAAAAGGAAATCCGAATTTTCATTGTCAGCTTGCACCTGGGAAGCAAACCGGCCCGTCAGGTGGGGCAGCCCTCGGGGCCAGGCCTCTGTCCGAAGGAGTGGTTCACGAGCACTGCCTGGCATGCGGCTTTCGCGGCGGCGGCCCTTGGCGTTGCTTTCCATGTTAGCTGCAACCAATGTGACTGAAGGCAATAGTTCTCATCCGCGTGCAACTGCGCATCACGCCAAGAATCCAAAAGATGAGCCACATACTCTGTAAAATTAGTTTGCAAAACTGCCTCAGGGTATCCAAACTGCTGACTGCAGACACCCTGCGGCACACATGCCAGACTGGCATCAACCAGCGGTGACACCGCAAGAGCCGCCGGCTCTCACTGCCGCGACTTGGCATCGCATCGTGGGAATCCGTGCTTGGTGCTGCCAAACACTCTCCCGCTTTGGAGGAGCCTGCCGCACCGGTGCTGCCCTTGGTCACAGTAAGCGGGTTCAATCGTTGGCCTTTCTTTTTTCATGCCGCCGCTTACTCCGCGTGGCTGCCTCCATGTATTACGATGACCTTACCATGCAGGATTGGGCATGCACCGCGGTTGCTGCGCAGTCGTGTGTCGAGCAGCTTGCAAAATGCCTCGGCTTTCCCTTTGCCGCCGAAAAGCGGCAGCTGCCTGCCGCGCAAGGAGACTTTCTGGGCGTTGTGCATGACCTGCGGGAGGCTTCTTCTGACTCAAGTGTCACCCTGTGGGTGAGGGATAGGCTAGTTGCAAAGATCCGTGGCATAACCCAGAATGCCCGAGCCCATGACTACCTCACGCCTGGCGTGGCCAGCAAGCTTTTTGGCTGTCTCGGCTTTCTCGACCAAGGTGCTTTTGGGTGCATTGCCCGCTCAGGCCTGTCTCCAATCAAAAGCAGACAACATCTCGAACATGACACGCATCTTACCCCTCAACTTCTGATGGCGTTTGACCAGATCGAGTTCCTCCTAGACCTGCAGCCACGCAGGATGGTCTCGCACAGAGCCAGCGCCTAGGCTCAGTCGTAGACATCAATGAAGATGTTTTTCGTTTGTGGGATTCTCATGATGCCAAGATAGCGCAGGTTGTTTTCCCGGACGTCTTCCGGCGGACAACAGGGGTGTTCTACGTTGACAACGATGGCCCGCTTGGTCTACTGCTTGCTCTTCAGGCTGGAATGCACTCTGTGGTGGGAGTGGGTGCAGTCTGCATCAAACTGGAGCGACGGCATCAGCTCCCTTTATCAAGCGGTTCCGCTTCCAAGTCCACGCCTCTGCAGTGGCGGCTTCCTTTGCGCGCAGTCTTCCAGGTGTTCGCCTTTCTTGAGAGGACCCTCTGTGAGGGGCATGCAAAGCACTTCAGTGTGCCTCACTGTTCCGTCAACTTGAGAAACGTGCCAAGGAAAATGAGAGCGATGCATGCGGCATGCGCGAAGAATGTTTGCCACATTTGTGCTTGGCAGGCTTGGTGATGTGGGTTCATTCTGCACCATGCCGTCTATGTCTGTGTCCTGTGGCTCATGAGCCAAAATGGCTCCAGCCTGGAGCTGGGAATCTTTTTCCCACCCGCTTTTGCTGGGTTGGCTGCGGCCTCCCTGGCGCAGTGGCGTGGCTGCTCGGAGCAGCCCTCCAGGTGAAGGGAGGGGACCAACTGGCTGGGTGAGCAAGGCCAGCCAGGTCCAGAAGGCCTGGGGCCAACCTCTTGTGAGGGGCATGCAAAGCACTTCAGTGTGCCTCACTGTTCTGTCGACTTGAGAAACGTGCCAAGGATTATGAGAGTGATGCATGCGGCATGCGCGAAGAATGTGTCCATGTTTCCATTGGGTGATGCCGGGGGCCTTCAGCTCCGGGCGGCCCACGAATCCGAGGTTCGGATTTCGGGGCTCCCGCCGCGGATGCCGTCCAGCCAGCGGCAGCGGCGGGCCACGGAGTTCCACAAACAGTTCGAGGAAGAGCTCTCGGCCTGAGAGACGTGATCAGCTTGGGGTTAGGAGCGGTTCCATGGGCTCCAAACAAATTGTTGTTTCAGGGTTGGCTGTAGGAGAGCAGTGTCAGAAAGCATCTAGGCCCTTAAATGAAGGGCAAGCCTTGAGGAACCGCTCTGGGTTGCCAGCTTTTGGGCTAGCTGGCGGAGACAATTTCAACGCGCATGGGAAAAAGGTGCGTTTTGGGTATGTGGCATTCGGATTCGGCCAGGCATGACTCGGATACCTTTGCCGCAAATGCGCTGCACCCGCACAGCCTAAGCCGCCCCCCCTGGGCATATTGTGCCACACGTGCAGCTTGCGTCAGGCGAGGCACCTTCCGAGGACGGCTTTGGCACCCTTTGGTGGAGAGGGGGGTGCCTGCAGTAAAACCCATGGAAGCCTTCAAATGCGCACCTGTGTGCGTCATGCAGGTTCAAGCCACACACACAAGTGTACTTTATGTATGTATATATGCATATACATATCTACATCTTTACTTATATTTTAATTTCTACTTCTGTAGAGATGTATCGTGTCAGCCGTTTGCACCAGATGTACTTGGTCATGCCTGAATCAACTTGGCAAGGTGCAACCTCTCAGATTGAGGACAGCTAAGTTGAACAGGGGCACCCCTATGCCTGGAGGGGGATGCCCCCCTGCAAATAAGCTTGGAAACCCAAAAGCTCACGCCGTTCGTAGAGAAACTTTTTTTTTTTGTGGGGACTCCCTTTTTGCCATGCAGGCCACTTTGTTCCCTCAACGGGATTTTTTTCCTTGGAACGGTGTTTCACCCATGAGTCGGCAAGAACAATTGTGGTTCTCCCTTTGGTTTCCCTTGGTCCTTAAACCACCCTGAAAAAGAAGAAAGAAAAAGGCGCCCTCGAAAAACGCGACCCAAGTAGAGTGGACTGCTCGAAGCGCCGCCCCCCCCCCCCCCCCCGCAGCCACTCCACTCGGGCGCCTTGAACTCGAGGAGCCGAGTTCCAGCTACGAGGGGCTGCACCACCACGGGGCGGAGAGTTCCCAGGCGAGTGAGCCAAGGTTGTCCCTTTACCAAGACCGGCCCCTGTACTTGTATGTTCCATGGTCTTTTAGTCATTTTAGTCTTTTCTTCATATTTTTTGGGACTTTTGGTTGTCCTATACAAAGTCAGCAACTGGGGGTGTTGCAAGTTTGTCAACCCGCTTTGGGGGTGACTTTGAGAATGGTTCCCTGCCAGCTCTCCTTGCCACTAGGCCACCTGACAGTCGCTTCGAGAGGAAAGGTACCTTCTGTTTGTGGAAGGAGGGGCGCCGCTCAGGTGCCACTTGAAGAAAGACTGGGGCCAGTTATTGGACAAATGTCTCGACTCCCAAAGTGCAGGAGTCCTTTTGAATATGCCAAACTTGTCATGGAGCACAACCACTATATGATCAGAGGGGTCGAAACACTCAGAATAGATCGACCCCCCACTGCCCCCACTGAAAGCAGTAGCACCTTTGATGAATCTCCAGCGGTCAATCCGGAGTGGACATTGTTGGCTTCTGTTTTTTTTTTTTTTTGGGGGGGGGCATCCCCGGTTACTTCGTGGCTGCGTATTAAACGACTCAAAGTCAACCTCAATCTCTCCCAAAAGCATCCTGCATATCAACCCAAAAAATACTCAAGACCCGCCCTCATTCTATAAGACCGCAGCAAGCCCAACACTCACCCGAAAGCCGGGGCCAGTAAACAATAATAACAATAATAATAATGATAATAATCATAATGTTAATAATAATGATAATAATAATGATAATAATAATAATGATAATAATAATGATAATAATAATAATAATGATAATAATAATGATAATAATCATCATCATCATCATCATCATCATCATCATCATCATCATCATCATCATCATCATCATCATCCTCATACACACAACTCAACCGAGGGGGGCGGGGGGGGAGGAGACGTGATGACTCGACCAAACGTATCTGAGGTGCTTTGTCAACAAATCGCCAGGGTTGAATTACATGTCGGCCATTTGATCTTGTCAATCTTGTTGGGAGCCGGCCACCCAGCACAAAACATGCACCCAACCGCTCAGAGGCTTTTGGGAGGCCATAAGTGTCCATGTAGGTCAGCTTGGCTGAAAATAGATGGATTTCACTGGCGTCAGGTTAGCTTGAGAATCATTTACCAGTGCCATCTAAAAGCGGTAAGGTCTATATGGGAAGCGGACGATGTGTTGCAGGCAGACATCCCCAAAGCATCACCAGGAGCTCCCAAGTGCATGCGCTCGAGCTTCGCCCGAGGAAGCCCGAAAAAAGGGGTGAGGGGCGGGTGTGGATCCCAATTTGGGAAAGCTTCCCGTTTGGCGATGCGGCTCCCCTTTTGCCGTGACCCGCCTTGATCATTCATGTGCATTTAGAACCCATTTGAGCGTCCCAAACCGCTGCTGTTGGGGCCAATTTTCGTTCCATGGGAAGTGAGGCCTTTACCGTGGAACACGTTCCGGGCGAAAGGCGGGGTACACCTTCTCGGAGCTGTTGCTGCTGAGCCGCTCGGCGGCCTCTGCGCAGCGGGCCGCCGCGCTGCAGGTCTTGGCGGAGATCTTGCGGAGGAGCCGCGCGGCGGCGCCCCAGGCGGGGACGTTGGCAGCAGCCGTGGACCCCTGGGGGGGGGGAGGTTGCAGAAGCCAAAGAAACACGACAATGCCCTAAAGGAAGGTGGCTGCAAAATAGATCCTGAGTGTTAACCATACAGGTGTGTCTGTGTGTGTGTGTGTAACCCTTCTCAGGAGTTCAAAGCCACACCAGGCCGCACGAAACATGGGGAAATTACCCTACTTTCAATCGTTCGAAAATGGCAGCCGTGGAGTAGCTCATGCGCCTCAAGGCTGGTTGAGGCTCATGTTTGATGTACGTGGCTCCACCCCCTTGCTTCCGAAGATAGTCAGTTACGTGCTGCTCGGCTTTGTCGCAGGGGGTGTTGAGCGCCGACGCAGCCATCCGTCGCACCGGGTTTTGCCCGGAGGCCAGGCAGCTATGTGTCAAAAAATTGGGGGAGCAGGGTTTTCCTTTGGTTTCTCTGTGTCGTTTCCCAGTGGTCAATCCTGGATCCCCGTCAGTAGAAACCTGAAGAGGGCAACTCAAGCTTTGGAACCATTGCGTGGTTGGACCGCTGCTCGGATGCTTAAGGGTGGACTGGAGGCTGATCGTCTCACAAGCTGGGCCATGATGCTTGAAATTCAATGCCCTCCTTCGCCCTGTGGGCAGCATGCAGGGTTTTTGGAACCATTGCCGCAGGGACAGATGCCTGCTTGTCCATAGTGCTTGAACCTTGATTTGTCGCTGGCTTTGTCTATCACGTCGCGTCTATCTGGCTGGACCCAAGCCGCGGCTGGGGCTTGGAAACAGCATATCGTCACTGAAGGGATGGGTGGCCCATGCTCACCAGATGATCAACTTCCAATTTTCCATGGCGGTTGGCGCTAGGATGGCTCACCAACTCGGGGTAAAGCAAGCTCAGTAATGAAGACCCTTTAGGCGTTTGTGAATTCAGGTTGATATCTTTATGTTGTGATTTGCTGGCGTGTCAATCACTGACTGCTGACAAGTGCTGAAAGCTGGACTTCCATGAATCATTCGGAACAGGTTGACCTTGGGCCCCATGCCATGTTCTAAGCCATGTGTTGTGATTTTGCGTGACGGCCGGCGTTGGCCAGGGCACGGAGGCCGCGCCTTGGCGTGCCGGCTTTGGGCTGGGCCTTCAGGCGGGGTTCGCCGACTGGTCTGATCTTAGGGACAAGTAGCAGGGAAGGCGACACTTTCTTTCATTTCTCTTTCTTTTTGCGTGGTGTGTGTTTTGTGTCGGTGTGTCTGTGTGTGTTTGTGAGTGTCTGTCTGTCTGTGTCTGTGTCTGTGTCTGTGTCTGTGTCTGTGTCTGTGTCTGTGTCTCTGTCTCTGTCTCTGTCTCTGTCTCTGTCTCTGTCTCTGTCTCTGTCTCTGTCTGTCTGTGTCTGTCTCTGTGTCTGTCTGTCTGTGTCTGTGTCTGTTTCTGTTTCTGTTTCTGTGGCTGTCTCTGTCTCTTTCTCTGTCTCTGTCTGTGTCTCTGTCTCTGTCTGTCTGTCTCTGTCTGTCTGTGTCTGTCTGTCTGTGTCTGTCTGTCTGTGTCTGTCTGTCTGTCTGTCTGTCTGCCTGCCTGCCTGCCTGCCTGCCTGCCTGCCTGCCTGCCTGTCTGTCTGTCTGTGTGGGTGTGGATGTGGGATGGTGTGGGTGTGGGTGTTTGAGTGTTGTGGAACGCAGGATTTGAGCTATGACCATGTATTCCAAGTTGGCCTGTGCGAGCGTTATTCCCACTTTAGCATTGAGGATGAATTGGGATGTGATGTTTTTGTCTTAACCCGCAGGCTCGGTACATTGCAAAAGGGCGTGTTAAACGTTGTGTCAGCCCAGGCAAGGGTCCTTTCCCGCCGTAGCTCTGTGCAATTTCCAACGCTCTGTTGCCAACCTTGTGTAAGTAAGGGTGTCCGGTTGACAGCCGCTCAACATTGCCGGTGGGCTGCTGAGCCGCCCAAACTGCTGTTGGCTGAGCGCAGGTCTTCTTTTGGCATGGCCTGGCGCGGGGCGACTTGCCGAAGCACCTGGCGGAAAGTTTGGCTGACAAAGCGCGGCCGGCCGGGGCCCTGAAACTGGGGCCTTGAATCGAGGGCGCGATGATGTTCGCCCCCAAGCGAGCTCGGCATAATTTGCGCAATCCCTGCAACATGCGATTGGTCCCCCATGTCACGTCTCCGCCGGCATCATCCCAGGTCTTTCCTGGAGCAATTTATGCGGGTTGGTCTCCAAACGCGGGACCCAAATGGATAGCTTCTTTCTAGTTGTAGTTGCCTTGCAGCATCAACGCTCACTTGGAGGTAAAACGAACCCATACTGAAGGCCGCTTACTCGTTCTTACTTGGGGATTTCTGATTTGCACTTTGTGTGTTTTCTCCTACAAATCCCCTGCAAATCAACATGGACCCCCAAAACCCCCCCCCCTGCAAGGAGTTCTGTTTACCTGCAGAGGTAGCTTTCATCTTGAGGTGCAGCTAGCGGCACTCCGGGCCACGGCTGAGCTCCTGGACGGCGTCGGGGAGGAGGCTGGGAAGCTTTTCCTCGAGCGCGACGGGGTCAGTCCTGGCAGCCGTCAGGCGTCCTATATCTGCGCGTGTGTGGTTTTGACGGTGCCCTTGCCCTTGCTAGTGATTTCTGACAGGAAACAACAAGGACACCACCATTTTTGTTGCGGGCACCTTATTTGATGGATTTGTCCCGTTTGGTGTTTTCAAGCATCACTTTTGGGTAAGTATCCTTTTGGGGTGATGCTCAAGGGGAAGCATGGGGCCCTGACGTTGCGTGGGGCATGGCACGATGCCTCAATTGATTAGGGTCACAGAGTCGACTTTTGTTGTGACTTTCCATTTGACTAGCTGAATTTGATCTAAGTCCAATCCAGTACTGTCACCCTCCTTTTGTTTAGCGTAAGTGGAGTATTCCACTTAGATGGTCTTGAGTTATGAGTCATGAAGCACGGGCTGAAAGTACAGCGACCTGCAACCTCGCCCAACCCAATCAAAATCTCGACCTGCAAGCCATGTCAAATCAAAGCGATGCGCGTTATGTGCGTCGGCAGCACATGTCAGCGCGCAAGGTGTACCTTGAGTTCCCTGGACTGCCCCCCCCCGTACGAGGGAACTTTATGTATAATGTGAACGGGCCATTCGCCTTTTGATAACCAAGTCTTAGTTAAGATAATTTTTAGAATTCTAGATGGTCCCAGCCCAGGAGGGGCCAGCCAGGACCTTTGATTTTTAGATTTTTAGAATTTTTAGAATTTTTAGAACTTGTATAATTTTTTGAATTGAGTTCTAAAAATTCTAAACTTCGGACCCCCAAAATTTAGAATTTTTAGAATGTTTAGAACTCAATTCTAAAAATTCTAAAAATCGGACCCCCGAAATTTAGATTTTTTAGAATTTTTAGAATTCTAGATGGTCCCAGCCCAGGAGGGGCCCAGCCAGGACCCTTGATTTTTAGATTTTTTAGAATTTTTAGAACTTTTAGAATTTTTAGAATTGAGTTCTAAAAAATCTAAAAATTCTAAAAATCGGACCCCCGAAATTTAGAATTTTTAGAACTCAATTCTAAAAATTCTAAAAATCGGACCCCCGAAATTTAGAATTTTTAGATTTTTTTGAATTCTAGATGGTCCCAGCCCAGGAGGGGCCCAGCCAGGACCTTTGATTTTTAGAATTTTTAGATTTTTAGAACTTTTAGATTTTTTAGAATTGAGTTCTAAAAATTCTAAAAAATCTAAAATTCGGACCCCCAAAATTTAGAATTTATTGAATTTTTAGAACTCAATTCTAAAAATTCTAAAAATCGGACCCCCGAAATTTAGAATTTTTAGGATTTTTAGAACTCAATTCTAAAAATTCTAAAAGTTCTAAGCATTCGAAAAATTCTAAAAATCAAAGGTCCTGGCTGGGCCCCTCCTGGGCTGGGACCATCTAGAATTCTAAAAATTCTAAAAAATCCAATTTTCGGGGGTCCGATTTTTAGAACTTTTAGAATTTTTAGAATTGAGTTCTAAAAATTCAATAAATTCTAAATTTTGGGGGTCCGAATTTTAGAATTTTTAGAACTCAATTCTAAAAAATCTAAAAGTTCTAAAACTTCTAAAAAATCTAAAAATCAAAGGTCCTGGCTGGGCCCCTCCTGGGCTGGGACCATCTAGAATTCTAAAAATTCTAAATTTCGGGGGTCCGTTTTTTAGAATTTTTATAATTTTTAGAATTGAGTTCTAAAAATTCTAAAAAGTCTAAATTTTGGGGGTCCGAAGTTTAGAATTTTTAGAACTCAATTCTAAAAATTCTAAAAGTTTTATCAAATCTAAAAAATCTTAAAAAATCCGAAAATCAAAGGTCCTGGCTGGCCCCTCCTGGGCTGGGACCATCTAGAATTGTAAAAACTCTAAAAATTCTAAATTTCGGGGGTCCGATTTTTAGAATTTTTAGAATTTTTAGAACTCAATTCTAAAAATTCTAAAAGTTCTAAAAATTCTAAAAAATCTAAAAAAATCCAAAAATCAAGCGTCCTGGCTGGGCCCCTCCTGGGCTGGGACCATCTAGAAATTTAATAATTCTAAAATTCCAATTTTCGGGGGTCCGATTTTTAGAACTTTTAGTTTTTTTTTGAATTGAGTTCTGAAAATTCTAAAAATTATAAACTTCGGGGTCCGATTTTGAGAATTTTTTGAATTGAATTATAAATATTCTCGAAATTCTACATATGTGGGGTACGAATTTTAGAACTTTGGGATTCTTTTTAGAACTCATTTAAAAAGCTTCTAAAAGGTCTAAAAAATCAAAAAGGAAAAATTAAAAATCAAGGGGCCCCTCCTGGGCTGAGACCATCTAGAATTCTAAACAATCTAACATAGAGTATTTTTTGAGAGTTCAATTCTATAGTTTCAACATCAAAAAACATTGAGCATCCTGCACGCCCCTGGGCTAGGACGTGAAAGGCATGTCGCCCCCTTTGTTCGCGAGTTGGAAAGAGTGAGGAAGGGATGGGAAGGTGGAGGACATGCCTCTCACTAGCGTAAAAGGGGCAGGAAGAGAAATGAAAGATGCTTCTCTTTTTAGCTGTTGGATGGGGTGAAGGCAATTCACCCTTTCATGCTACTCCTTTCTCTTTTCCACGCCTTTACCCACAACCGCAAGTAGCTGTGTGTTGGATAAAGGCTTGGGAGACGAAGGATAGAGAGTGAGGGATAGAGATGAATGCTGGGCCAGCCCTCACAAGGCTTCTCTCTTCGTTCGTCCATCATTATCTCTTCATCCACATCCTTTATCTCTCCTTAAAGACCGGGAGACCACGCCTTTACCCACAACCGCAAGTAGCTGTGTGTTGGATAAAGGCTTGGGAGACGAAGGATAGAGAGTGAGGGATAGAGATGAATGCTGGGCCAGCCCTCACAAGGCTTCTCTCTTCGTTCGTCCATCATTATCTCTTCATCCACATCCTTTATCTCTCCTTAAAGGCCGGGAGAGAAGATAGGAAAAGGACAGGCAATGGAGCTTCAGCTCGTCTCATGCCTTCGCCAGCTCTAGAGCCAACATAAGAGAGGGAGAAGGGGTGACATCTCTTTCTCTCACGTAGAGTCCTTGCCATTATTTCAGAATGAAGAAATGGCGTGGGAAGGCGCGTGAGAGGGAGATGACCAGCTCCTCCATCATTATCCTATCTGTTAGAGCTGTGGGGCCACGGAGAGAGCAAGAGAAAGAGGGTCAACAGGTAAAGATGATTGGGGAAGAGATAGAGAGTGAACGGAAAAGCTGGGACAATAAGGACATTCCAGCTCGTCTAGCTTTCATCTACTTCCCTTCTCTTGACCTCCCTCGTTTCTGGGCAAGAGGTTGGGAAAGAGAAGCTGAATAGAGGTGAAGAAAGAGGAATTCATTTGTACTGCTGGAAAGAACTGGCCAGCGGATGGGATTTCCTCTGGCCACCTCTCACCTAATCACTTTACCTCTCTCGTCATCAATTTCCTTTCTCCTTTCCATTCTCACCGTTGCAACGGCTAGGAAAGAAGAAGGGGTGAAGAGATAGGAGAGAGAACTAGAATGAAGAACCCAGATGACATGAAAGACGTTCTGGATTCTGTGAAGGGGAAGGAGATGTTGGTGATAGAGAAGGAGAAGGAGTTGCATTCCTTTCTCTTGCATACAATCCCCGCCACTCCAGAATTAAGAGATGGCAAGGCAAGGCGTGTGAGAGGGAGATGACCAGCTCCTCCATCATTATCCTACCTGTTAGAGCTGTGGGGCCAACGGAGAGAGCAAGAGAAAGAGGGTCAACAGGTAAAGATGATTGGGGAAGAGATAGAGAGTGAACGGAAAAGCTGGGACAATACTTGTTGTGAACTCTAGGGGTCGCATGCCAGGTAAACGACCGGAGAGAGCGAGAGAGAGAGAGAGAGAGAGATGGAGGGCGGTCATATGATGGCTAATGAAAGAGAAGGCGCCATCATCACTCTCACTTTTTACCTCTCATTACCTACCTCCCATCATCTCTAGCTTCTAAATCTTGGATGTGGATGAGGGAGGAGATAGGATGACAGGGAAAACGTGACAAGGTGAGCCCACCCACTCTCTCCTTCACCCACCTTTTTAATCTCCTTTTCTCTCGCTTGCAGGTGATGATGAGTGAAGAAGCGAGCGAAGAGTCAGGGCAAGAAAGGAAGAGACAGGGAAAGAGATGTTACTATCATAAAAATGTTTCCATATTCTAAGAGTACAAATCAGAGACGCTTTATCATTTGAGATGCTTTCCATCTCTTGCATTCGCTTTCTCCATTCTATTTCCCTCTCATGTCACTCCCAAAGCTATTAAAAGAGAACGGGAATGACAGGTAAAGATGATTGGAATTGGACAATAAGGACATTCCAGCTTGTCTAGCTTTCATTCACTTCCCTTCTCTTGACCTCCCTTGTTTCCAAAAGAAACTTATAACTGGGCAAGAGGTTGGGAAAGAGAACAAACACACATACATACATACATACATTACATTACATTACATTACATTACAGTACGTTACATTACATTACATTACATTTCATTACATTACACACATACATACATACATACATTACATTACATTACATTTACATTACATTACATTACATACATACATACTTACTTACGTACTTACTTACTTACTACATACATACATACATACATACATACATACATACATTACATTACATTACATTACATTACATACATTACATTACATTACATTACATACATACATACATACATACATACATTACATTACATTACATTACATTACATACATACATTACACATACATTACATACATACATACATACATACATACATGCATACATACATACAAACATATCAAACTTATGTACATGCATGCATACATACGAGAGAGGGAGATTGGGGAGAGAGAGGCTTGGGGGGATGGGGAGGATGGGAGCAGAGGGAGGGAGAGAGGACGACAGAACACACAAGGGAGACAAGGAAGAGAGGAAGAAGGAGAAAAGGGAGAGGACAATGTCGGCGGACT